ATTCTTTTCTATTACATTATACACTGTGTCTGCTGAGTGAGAAGGGGCTGAGGTAGAGTTCTGGAAGGCAGGTGGAGTGGTTTTGTCCTTCAAGTTCCATCTCCTTTCTCCTCTCCCTGTGGCAGTCAGCTCCTCCCTTTCTGGTTACTTTGACATATTCATGATTTACCAAAGAATTAAGGAGTTAGTTTTCTTAACAAATTCTGCCACTGTTCCAGCTGACTTTTTTTTTTTTAATCCACGTCATTTGGACTTTTATTTCCATGTCATTTGGGCTGCAAACTCCCATGGTTATACCTTAGAAATGTCTTCTGACAGAATTGTTCCATCACTAAAATCTTAGATTCTAGTGTTACCTCTTATCTTCTTATAAACCTAGCCTGAGACCTCTTGGAGCCCTCTGGTTGCTGGACCTTTCCTTTTTGCTTGGTCAGTTAACCCTATTTACCTTCACTTTCTTCCCTGGATCTCTGCTGCTTATCATTTCACCCCCTGTTTGTGGTGCCATTTTGTTTTCCTGACTGTTCTGCAACCTTCTTCCCTCTCCCATCCTAGACCAGTACAAGCACCTGACCTTGTGTCTTTAATTCTATAAAAGCTAGACAAATTCTACACCCTTATATACAGGATAACAGTTATTAGTTTGTCCACATCTGAGGTATGGCAGTATCAGTTTAAGCTGTATTGTTCATTTATGTCAGCATGTATATGATTGTTCAGAAATTGTGTTTACATGACATGGGCTATTTTAGTGCCTGTGGTAATTTTGGTTCTTCCATTGGTTAGGAACGGGATTTTCCAACAGAAACCGTTAAATTTGGTCCTGAACGCATGTATATTGATTGCTGGGTAAAAAAACACACCTATGACACCTTTAAGGAGATTCTTGGATCAGGGATGCAGTACCACTTGCAGGTAAGTGTCATCCTTTCTATGAATTTGCTTTGAAATTAGGGAGCAGTTGTGAATGTAGCTCACTCACTTAATTGGCTTTTGAATTAATTAGTTATTCAGAATGTTTCCACATGTCAGAAAACAGTAAACTTATTTTGAAAGTAGAATTGAATAAACCTGAAACTGTTCCTTTTTGTTTTTCTTTGTGTTGGGCAAGTTGGGTGGACTGTTACCGATGTCTGTATGAAAGCAATAGCTTGACATAGAGATTCAGGGCATTGGAAAACAATTTGTTCTCAGTCTGAGAAACAGAAAATAAGTGATCCAAGTTTTTGTTTGTAGGTTCCACATAACCTCTGTTAATCAGAGTCACTCTAGCGAAAAAGAACTATAATGTTTAATACTGAGCCTTACCCCCCTTTCTTTCACATAAGTCAAATGAATTCCTTCGAAATGTATTTGAACTTGGACCCCCAGTGATGCTTGATGCTGCAACACTTAAGACGATGAAGATTTCTCGTTTTGAAAGGGTAGGTTTTATATTTATATTTTATAAAACTAAGTGGACCAAAGCTTTGATTCTGTCTGGTGTCAGCAACGTAGCTGTGTCTACTTATATATGGAGTTTTAGTTTTTCATGATGCTTCACACAGAGTAGCTGTACTAAAGGTGTAGAAAGCATTTAGAGTATGGGAGAACTTTTATATATATATTAGCCTGGGTGATAAGCGTGAGACCTTGTCTCAAAAGCAAAACAGAAAAAATATTGCTGCTTGTCTGCCCCATGAGGTATATTTTATTTTATGAAAGGCATTTTGACAATACATTAAAATTTAATATACATGTATATATTTTACCTATAATCCTATCTTAACATAGGAATGATACTCATTTTTTGTTTCTTTTTATTCTATAAATATTTACGCAATCCTTTTGTATCAGATAGTAGTCTACTAAGTGAAGAACCAGACTTATTTTACAAATGAAGAAACTTAAGAGAGTTTTTAGCATTAAATAGTAATTAATATCATTTTTATTTAACATTTCTTTTTTTTTATTTTGAGACAGTCTCACTCTGTTGCCCAGGTTGGAGCACAGGGGCATAATCAGGCTCACTGCAACCTCTGCCTCCCGGGTTCAAGCGATTTTCCTGCTCCAGCCTCCTGAGCAGTTGGGATTATAGGTGTGACCCACCACCACCAGCTAACTTTTGCATTTTTAGTAGAGATGGAGTTTCACTATGTTGGCTATGCTTGTCTGGAACTCCTGACCTCAGGTGATCTGCCCACCTTGGCCTCCCAAAGTGTTGGGATTACAGGTCTCAGCTAACACGCCTAGCCTGCATTTCAAAAATCCTTAATTATATGTATTTTTTTTCCTTGAGGTGAAATTCACATAGCAGACTGTTTTAAAGTATACAATTCAGTGGCATTTACTACATTCATGATGTTATACAACTCTGCCTAGTTCTAAAACATTGTCACCTCAAAAGTAAACCTCCTCTTCATTAGCAGTCACTTCCCTTCTGCTACCCCCAGCTACTGGCAACCACTAATCTGCTTTCTGATTTATCTGATTAATATGAAAAAGATTTACTTTTTCTGGAGATTTCATGTAAATGGAGTTACATAGCATGCAACCTTTTGTGTCTGGCTTTTTTCAGTTAGCGTAATGTTTTGGAAGTTCATCCATGTGGTAGCGTGTATCAGAGAGCTTTATTTTTTTGTGGCAGAATATTATTTCATTGTGTGGATATATACTACATTTTGTTTATCTGTTTAACAGTTGATGGACATTTGGGCTGTTTCCATCTTTTGGCTATTGTGAATAGTGTTGCTGTGAACATTCATATACAAGTTTTTTTTTTAAAGGCTCTTTGCAATTTTGGGAGGTATTATGTAGGAGTGGAATTGTGCTGGGTCAGATGGTGATTTTACATTTAACTTTCTCAGAAACACCCGAACTGTTTTCCATAGCTGCTATACCAGTTTGCATTCCCATCAGCAGTGTGTAAAGGTTCCAGTTTCTCTACATCTTCCCTAATAATAATTTTAATTATAGCCATTCTGGTGGGTGTGAAGTTGTTTAATTATATTTTTATAGAACCTGGATATATCAGTTTTATATCCACATAATTGTTTGTTGTATGGTATTTTGAGTTTTTTAAGACATACTAATATTTTTACATATTTTTCTCTTTTGAAATATTTTTTCGAAGAAATCCCTTGCATAATGTATTGGCAAATTACCTTCCAAAGTTATTCTAATATTGGAGACAATATTTAAATTGGCTCCAGCAAGGAATGAAGGCATGTAGCTGTTACACAAAGATTTGACACCTTTGAGTTTTATAATTATAAACATTTGTTTATTTAATTGTTATTAAAATGATACCTCATCACTTTTTCCCTTGTTTTAATTGACAACCAAGTAGGACTGTTTTCCACATTAGTTATTTGTCTTTTCTTGGATCAGACTAAATGTTGATGTCCTTTTTTCATTGTTGTTGTTTGAAATTGTCTTATTTTCTTGGTGTTTTACAATTTCATTAGTACTTTTCTTAATAAGGAATAACCGTGAACTCTGTTTTTCTCCTTCATTCTTTGTGTTTTTGTTTTATAAACATTTAAATGTGTGGGTGTTTTTGTTTTTTGCGATGGAGTTTCACTCTTGTTGCCCAGGCTGGAGTGCAATGGCACTGTTTCGGCTCACACAACCTCCACCTCCCAGGTTCAAGCGATTCTTCTGCCTCAGCCTCCTGAGTAGTTGGGATTACAGGCACCCGCCACCATGCCTGGCTAGTTTTTGTATTTTTAGTAGAGACAGGGTTTCACCATGTTGGTCAGGCTGGTCTCAACTTCTGACCTCAAGTGATTCACCTGTCTTGGCCTCCCACAGTGCTGGGATTACAGGCATGAGCCACTGTGCCCTGCCATATTTAAATGTTTATAGGGTCAAATTAGTTCATTTCTTTTCTTTGTGACTTTTTACCCTTTTTCTGTTTTATAAGAATATCTTAAGTCTTACTGATACATGTTTTTCCTTTTCTTCATTTCAGCATTTATATAACTCTGCAGCCTTCAAAGCTCGAACCAAAGCTAGAAGCAAATGTCGAGATAAGAGAGCCGATGTTGGAGAATTCTTCTAGATTTTCAGAACTTGAAGACTATTTTCTAATTTCTATTTTTTTTCTATTTCAATGTATTTAAACTCTAAAGACAGTTTTTATCTTGGATTAACTTAGATAACTTTTGTAGTAAGGGTTACATTGCTTATAATTTAATGTACAGTGTTAAAACTGGGGAGTTCTGATTATTATTCTCTGTAAATCAGTAAACATGTATAAAGTGTTTGTAGTGTTTGGTCATATTTTATTTATGAAGACAGCAAAAAAACTTCGATTTCATGATGGGAAAAACTATTAGCCAAAGTTTAATTTCTTACACTGTGGTTGTCAAAAATACTGATTTACTATAATGATATATACATATAAGATATTTAACTTACTATCTTAGACAAGAGTTCTAGGTACAATTTTGGGATCTAGTTCCTCTGGAAACGCTGCTGTATTTTTAATTTTGAATGGAATGTAGCTTTTAAAATTTTGTCACTAGCATCACTAAAAGGAATTATACCATGAGACCTTACAGCTGTACTTAAAAGCCACTCAGTTGAGCTATTGGGAGTTCATGATGAGTTAGCATATGCCAGAAAGGTTGCTAACCTTAACCTCTGAGAGCAGTAACACTCATTTTATCTCCTGTATGAGACTGTGCATTTTACTTTGAAATAAAGTTTTTTTCACATGGAAAGTGCTTCTTTTCTAATAGAAGAAACTTTATGGCTTTGAGGTACAGAGTTCAAGTTGACTAGGCCAGGTGGGCAGAGAGACAAAGCTTTATGTGTATATTTGCAAACATTAAAGCAGTTGAAAAGAATATAGCAATATGTAATTGGGATTAAGGTTTCTGACTTTCAAGAATATTGCTGCTTGATGCCTGTAATCATAGCAGACTGGGTGGCTGAGATAAGAGGATGACTTGAGCCTAGTTTGAGATCGGCCTGAACAACAGTGAGACCCTGTCTCTACCAGAAGTTAAAAAACTGGCTGTGGAGGTGTGTGCCTGTACTGTTACATACTTGGGTGCTGAGGCAAGAGATAGCTTGAGCCCAGGAGGTCAAAGCTGCAGTGAGCCGTGATTGTGCCATTGCACTCCAGCCTGGGTGACAAGTGAGACCCTGTCTCAAAAGCAAAACAGAAAAAAGAATATTGCTGCTTGTTTGCCCCATGAGGTATATTTCTTCCATTTTATGAAAGGCATTTTGACAATACATTAACATTTAATAAACTTTAGATTAAAATGTATAGTGTGAGCAACGTGCCATTTCAAATCCATAGACTTGTTTCTTCCATACTCTTGCTGCAGATCACAGTGAGGGCTGTGGAAGCATATATGTTATAGAGAAAAGAATCAAAATCATTTAAGGTCTTTTTTCCAAACTAGTGTTTCTCTCCCACATCCCAACAACTCTTGGAAGTCTGGTGCTCCTGCTTGGTGAAAATCATTTGCTGGCTTATGGAGTCACTGTTGCTGAGTTCCATCCCCCAGTTACAGTGCAGTGGAAAACATTTGGAATCCAGAAGTTGTATGTTGTCACTGGTTATATTCTAAATAGGTTAGAACCATGGAAAAGACTGCAAATGGTAGTTTATTCTAGATATGCAGTTGCACATATGTATGTATATGTAATTTTAAATGAATTTTTGAATATGAATATAGGCTTTTGTTTTTGATACAGTCTCACTCTTGCTCAGGCTGGAGTGCAGTAGCGCAATCAGCTCACTGCAACCTCTGCCTCCTGGGTACAAACGATTCTCCTGCCTCAGCCTTATGAGTTACTGAGATGACAAGTGTGTGCCACCACACTGGCTAATGTTTTATATTTTTAGTGGTGATGGGGTTTCACCATGTTAGCCAGGCAGGTCTCGAACTCCTGACTTCAAAATCCTGCCTTGGTCTCCCAAAGTGTTGAGATTACAGACATGAACCACCATGCCCAGCTTGCTTAATTCTTGATTAATCTTGTCCACTTTCATTATTTTGAGGATCAAGCATTTTGAAGTATTCAATGTCTGTGACTCGTCTTTGATGGGTACTGAATTTCCTGGGAGTGAATTTAGATACCCTGAGATATAATACATGAAAGAAAAAGCCAGAAATACTTGAGAATGTTACTAGATTAGACACTTCATGTGAAAATATCTCTTTTTGTGACCCCAAACTCTTCTTTTTTTTTTGAGGTGGAGTTTTGCTCTTGTTGCCCAAGCTGGGGTACAATGGTGGGATCTTGGCTCACCACAACCTCTGGCTTCTGGGTTCAAGCGATTCTCCTGCCTCAGCCTTTTGAGTAGCTGGGATTAACAGGTATGTGCCACCACACCTGGCTTATTTTGTATTTTTAGTAGAAACAGTTTCTTCATGTTGGTCAGGCTGGTCTCGAACTCCTGACCTCAGGTGATCTGCCTGCCTCAGCCTCCCAAAGTGCTGGGATTACAGGCATGAGCCACTGTGCCCGATCCCAAAACTCTTCTTAAAGGTGATCTTGCAGGTACGTTATAGTTAAAAATGAAGTAAGTTGTCTTGCTTTGTTCTTAAGTGGCTCTCTGGAAGTCTTAACTGGTGTAAAGGCAGTCTTATCCCCTTCACTGGTGTATAGTTGAATTCAGACCTTAATGAGAGGTTTGGGTTTAAATCTCATCTCTGCCACTTACAATCAGTGTATCCCTTAACAATTAAATTATTTAGTCTCCATTTTCTTCCTCTTTCAGGAAAGGCTAATATTTCACAAAGTCAGAAGATTACAGGAGAGAGGAAGAATAGTAAATGCCCAAAAATGAGGTGGTTACTTCTATTACATCCTTGAAGGATAGATGGCTTATAGCAGATCAGGTAGTTGGGAGATTTCTTAAAAACGGTATAATAGCTAACATGAACGCTTTCATTATTCAGAGAAATTTGGCATTAATTTTTAATGTATAATTCATTTCTGATAAAAGTTACTAGTTATTCACTAGTTATATTGTCTTCCTCTCTTATACTAGATAGCATGAAGGAAAAAAAAGTGACATTCCCCTTCCCCCAAAGCAGAGTGAGGTCCATATGGGACATAGGTGTCAAGAAAATTTGGGGCCGGGTGTAGTGGCTCATGCCTGTAATCCCAGCACTTTGGGAGGCTGAGGTGGGTGGGTTATTTAAGATTAGGAGTTTGAGACTAGCCTGACCAACATGGCGAAACCGTGTCTCTACTAAAAATGCAAAAATTAACCAGCCATGGTGGCACATGGCTGCAATGTCAGCTATTTGGGAGGCTGAGGCAGAAGAATTGGGAGGCAGAGGTCACAGTATGCTGGGATCACACCACTGCACTCCAGCCTGGGCGACAGAGCAAAACTCTGTCTCAAAAATAAAATTTTGTGGAACACATATTTTCTCACTTACATGAAAAATGTTTCAAAGATGAGTACTGTTCATCAAGCCATGACAATGGAAGTGAGGATAATGGATTGCACAACTGTTTGCAACCTCACTGTTAGTATCCTGCTTGGATAGTTGGTCTCATCACTGTAGCATCTTTTATGTACAGCAGAGGGCAGAAGCTCCTTGGCATGTTTGTGAGGGAACCACATAAATGGCTGATTTTCCTGAGAAAGGAGGATGTACAAACACTCACAGAATAAAGCCTTTGTAAAGGAAAGGCAGCTGATGAGATGGAGTGCTTCCATCATCGGCAGTGGGTCTGTAGTCACGAACTCTCCCACTCACAATCACTTTTTGTAGCTACTGGACACACTAGGCATCTGATCTTGTTTATGATGTCATAACCATATTCTGTCCCCGTTTATTGCAGTTCTCTGGTTAGTCTGGAGTGTTTGTAAGTTAGTCTTCATAGTGGCAGCTCCTGCCTGCTACAGGACATTTATATATGAGAGCATGAGTGCTGGAAATATGGTGTCAGCTTACACAGTTGCTTCAGCCAAATAAGGGCAGTAACTTCAGTCCAATAAAAGCCTCATCGGTTACCAACTAAATCAGGCATGGTATTTTTTTTCTTTTTAAAGCATGGTTTTAGTAATATATTTACTGAAAAACTTAGACATTATGAAAAAAGTCAGGATTTGGAATCTTACACTGCTTGGCTAAATTAACACTAAATATAGACCAACAGTTTCATGCTGGGGCTTATGGGCCTCACAGGAGCACCGTATGCTGAAGAAAGGCAAAGAAAGAACTACAGAATTTGTAGAAAAGTTCTGTTGTAGTCGCTTCTGAACAATTCGTTTTTTGTTTGTTTTGTTTTGTTTTCTGGTAACCTAGCAGTCAAAGCTCACATTTTTGTAAGTAATTTGCATGCTATTACTCTACTGAGACTGAATTATGATTCTTGAGTTGGGAAGTTTTTGTTGCATGAGCTCTGTGTTTTTCATTTTTGATAGAAATGATTTAGACTTGATTTTAAAAACTACTTCCTGAATGTGAAGAGGCATTGACTCTGAAATGAAATTAAAGAACAAATTACCATGACTCACTCAATAAAGGTGCTTATTAGCTTTGAATTAAGCCTCATTATAACAATTCCAATTTTGTGGCAAGCAATACTGGTGTGAGTTATTTCTATGGTTTGATACCAAGCACCCATGGGAAAAAAATAAAGCACAAGGCAATTTTTCATAGACAATGTATTTGTCAGAATATTTATTTGTAAATAGTCAAAGAGTTCTTAAATGACAAAAAGAACCAGCTCTTTGTTAGCAGTGATCAAAACCAGAGGAAAATGAAATTACTTACATGTTTCCACTCAAGGTATAAGAAAGGATTCTATTAAAGGGATGCTGCTTTAGCCAGTCTTGGTGAATAAGCAAATTTGCACACTGGAGTTGAAAAGGAGGGTCAAGTTGGTGTGATGAAGAATTGCTGGTAACACTGGCTTCTTCAGCCTTGCCGGTTGTTCCTAGATGCCCTCATTTTGAGATGCCAAACATAGCAACTATGGGGTGTCAAACAGCTGTGGGGCCTGGTTTTAGGGCCATGTGATCTTGTATCCATTTACTAGCAGACTCATGAGTCATTTGCAAGTCATTTGCAGGCTCTTGGAGCCCTGGAACAGCAGCCAACTGTTTTCTCTGCTACTTCTTTGTTTCTCCATTTGCATGTTGTAGTTTATTAAAAAAAAATTGGAATAGCATCTATTTACATTGTGACTTAATTCTAAAGAAGACAGTTTCTTTCAGAACACGTCATGGCTCACTAGGTTGTTGTCTTGGTTCTTTTGGAGTCATCTTTTGAGCAGATAGCAAGGCCAGTAATTTGGAGATGTTATTAGCTGTACTCTTAAAGTCAATTTTTGTGGCTGTGGTTTTCTAGCTAGGTCTCCATTTCGTAAACATTGATTAAGCCTCAGCGTGAAATTTAAGCAACAGCAGATACATTCCTGAAGGGGAAGCTAAGGCTCAAGGCTATTAAGTCAGAGATCCAAAAATGAACCATGCTTCAGTTACCATGCCTAAAATAGAAGCTGTGTGCGGACAATGGTCCTGTGATGTGACACATAAAACTTTTATTCCTGGTTAAATATTTGTGTTTGGTAAAATGTTAGTATAAACAGAAGATAAAATGTAAAACACATCTAAACGAATTGTCCTAAAATCTGTGACTATGTATTAGTCAATATTTTGGGGCCTTGGTTTTAACTGCAAAAGGTTAAGATCTGACCGACCTCTAAGGCCCTTTTACTCTATTTGCTGCAGCTTAAAATTTTTTTTTTAATTGTCATATCAAGTCATTTCCTTAAGAATGCTTTATGCAGTATATTTGGAAATCAGTAATATCCTCAAAGTGCTACAGTAGTATCTTATCTGAAAACTCAGGGAATTGTGTGTTCTTGTTAATTAAACTTTCAGAATAAGTGAAACACACTTTTTTAGTTTTAACTCTAAAAAATAATTATAGTCATGAATTTTTGAGCTCTCTTTCTGAGCTAGGGATCTGGTAGCACATTTTTCACAAGTACCAGTAGTTTTAGGTATCACTGGGAAATTGCTGTTTTTTAAAAAAAATTTTAGAGTACAGTTTAAGTTGCTCAGTAAATGTCTGATACTTTTTCCACCATATCTTATTTAGATGTATACCTTTTTTTTTTCTGAATTTGGTTTCTTCCAACGCTGTATTTCTCTTCATTTTGTTTTAAAGGAAATTTTTGCAATAACAGGAAGTAAACAGTGTGCTGCCAAATACGCACAGGCACAGTATTTACTGCATTGACTTTACTAGAATCCAGATAGACATCACATGAGAATTTTTATCCTCAGTCTTATTTCTGTTCATGTACTTATGATTAACTGCCTCTAATTCTTTTGAAAATAGTAAGATTTAAATACTGAATAGACATTTCAGGTGTTCCATCTTAACATAAGTCACCAACTTCTAAACCTGGCACTGGGCGTTTGAAGAATTGGATTGGTCCCTACCCTAAGGAGTTTTCAGTCTATTGGGGGAATCAAAGGTGGAAGGAAATAAATGCAGTAAAATACTATAGGTATTCTGATAGAGGAATGTACAGAATCCAGCAAAGGCACAAAGGAAAGACAGGTTGGTTCTCTCTTCTTAGGGGAAGTGATGTTTGAGCTGAGTCTTGAGGGCGGATTAGGAAGTGGTATAGAAAAGTGGCACAAAGCAAGACTTAGGGAATGCTGAACAAAAGGCCCGATTCCAGCTGTGCTTCCAGGCAGATGTGTGATCCTAGGCATCTACCTCGCTGAGTTTCCATTTCATCATTTATGGAAAGGACGGGGCTAGACTAGAGCACATCCAACACCCTTTCTAGATTCAGAAGTCCTCTACCATGATTAGACTTGATAACAATGAAAGGAAAAGCTTTTATAGTAATTAAAATTTGTCTTTCCAGAACCTTTTCAATTAAATGGCCACAAGTTCTCTGTTGTGCTAGAGATACATCTTTTTCTAACCCACCCCCTTTTTCTAATCCTTAATTTATGGGTTAGAAAACTTCTTAATGTCTTCAGGCTTTTCAGTGTTGCTTACAGTTGTGCTATCATTAGAGAATATTGTCTTTAATATTTAATAAACCTCAAGCTTTTTATTACATAAGTGACCGCAGTCTAAGGGAAATCCAGGTGGAAGAGATCTCAGAGGTCCTGAAGTCTAGCAGATTCCTCTCGATAGCATCTAAGTTTGCTAAGATTGTTGTCTTGGGGACTCGCACTCAGCATCTAATGGCTAAGGGAAATGTGTGAAGTAGGGACTTATATGCCATATGGAGGGAGGCTACAAAAATTGCCATTTTCTATTAAAGCCTCCTGCAATTAGAGTGGTTCATGGCAATATTCTCTTCTTTCAGAATGTTTTATGGCCACTTGCCGACTAACTTAATTTTGTCTATGTATTTATACTTAGTCTTCTTGCACAAAAAATTTGAGGCATCTCACCAGAATATAAACAATGTAATAAAAGAAAAAAAATTTAAAAATCAGTTACAAAATAAAAACAGATCCAGGGAAGATAAAGGCAGAACTGAGAAATCTGAGGAGGAGAAAAGAGTGTTTGCAGATAAGCAGGGTGTACACAGATGCGTAATTCTTAAAATTGGGCCACACATTTGACTGTGAGCTTCCTGGCAAGCAAAGCAAAAAGAACAATTACAAAGTGGTCCACAAAAGGAAATATTTTCTCCTGGATAAGCAAAGTTCTCTAGACCCTTAGTTGAAACTAGTATTTGTGGGTGGTTCTTCATAGGCCTGTCTGGCTTCCTGCTGGCTGTGATTCTTGTGAAGTTGAGTTCACAAGCCCAATCTTGTTTTTAACATCAGTGTTTTCTTCCAGGGACAATGACTCAGTCTTCCCAGGACACTGGCTCTTGTGGCATTCAGGAAGATGGAAAGCTTTATGTGGTGGATTCCATAAATGACTTAAACAAACTAAACCTCTGTCCAGCTGGATCACAGCATCTGTTCCGTATGTGTGCTGGGGAAGGTGGGGCGGCCCTTCCTAGCTCCTAAGCTACCTAAAAATAGCCACTGCTTGACTGGATGTGTGGTTGTGGTGGGGGCTGAGTGGGCATTAGGAAGAGGTTGGCACTGGAAATATTATTTGTTGTTAGGCAATTTTTGGTTTTGTTTTCTGAATACTCGACAGGATTATGGGCTTTCTTGGCTCTTCCACAAGATTTGAACTCTTGGCTTCAAATATTCTGAGATGCTGTGCCGTTTCTGTCCTTGGAAAGGAGTGGAGCCTGCAGAGCTGGACTCCTGGAGGCTGGTTCATCCCTCTCCTAGTGGCCATGGCTAGGTTACCGATGGGGACCACTTCCCACAGGAGTGTTGTTTTATAGTAGATTGCTGAGAAAATGCTCAACAAATTCGCCCAGTTTTTAAAAAACCATTAAAATTCTGTTGGGCAAAAAAGTCAACTTCGTTTTCTACTTACAAGTTACAAATCATGCAAGTAGGGGTTAGGAAAAGAGGGTAGGGGAAACAAAATAAAACCTGCTAAATACTAAATGTGTATCTTGCCTCCTAAGTATTAAAAATGAGCTCTATCAGACCACTCTGAGCACCATCTTTTCTAGCTTAAACGCTTACATTCAAACACCGGCATTAATTACCCACTTGCCGTTTGTTTCATATGCACTCTAAACTGATTGTTGCACTTTTATATCTATCATTTGCTGTCTAAGTCCTTTCTAAATTCCTTCTTTTTTTTCTTCATTTTAATAAGTTCAAATTTTCATCTGTTTTTATTGCAGTCTCAACAACAGTAGAAGTTTGGGTGTCAGCCTATGCTGTTGCTTTGATTAGGAAGCAAAAGCGGCTGAAGGGTATGACATAGGATGTACTTACAAGGCATGGGACATAAACCACCCATCTGTCTGTAATCAAGTAGCACCGTGAGTGGGACCAATTCAATGCAGTATGCAAAAAGTAATCCACTGATCTCCACTACCCCAGGTTTCTGTGTTGCTTATTCAATTTAATCTGGGTGTTATTAGGCAACTAGACCTTACAAAATGGTGATTAAACGCAGACAATTCATGGTTTGAGTGAACCAAGCTATTAATTAAACCCAGCCGCATTCTCAGTTCAACTGCACATTTAAAAGAACCTTGCTTCCAGAGCATCTCCACCCAGAAGACAGCTTTAAGAAACCAAAAGATGTCAGAGCCATTTCTGTTTAAATGGATGAAGGCTTAACTGATTATTCCTATAATAAAAGAAGTTATCAGGGAGATAGTCCAGAGCATTCAATTGAATCTTCCACCCAGCATAGGTGTCGCACACCCAGCTCTGTTTTACTCCGGGGTTACTTTGGGAAAGGGAAATAAAACTTTTCTCTCTTACCCTTTAACTTCTATATTCTCTCCCCTCACCCCCCAAAATCTGTGTCCTGCTACTTCAGTGTTAAGACAGTCTTCAAAGAACTTTCCAAATAGGTCTAAGGAGATAGGTTAACCCTGCTTATTCCTTGAATACCAATAGAGAAGAAGGTAAATAATTCACAAATTTCTCTCTTCCCAAAGATATTCCTAAAACAGAAGTCACTTTCTAGGCTTGTCAGAGGAAAAGTGGGTGTATCCATTACTCATGGTCTAACAGTGGCGCACTGTTCAGTTCTGCTGACAAGTTGTGTGCTGAGGAGTTTTTGTCCTTGTTTTTTGTTTCTTTCGTATTAGCTCTAGAGGATAAAATCCCTGTCTTTGGCACAAACTCAGGAAATGGAAGCCGGAGTCTGTTTTTTGTGGGACTGCTGATTGTGCTGATTGTCAGCCTGGCACTGGTTTTTTTCGTGATATTTCTAATAAGTAAGTACCACCACAGGGTTTTAATGTATTATTATTATTACTCGTATGCATTTATTCACAGCTGGTTGTTTAACTTTGCCCCTGGAAAGTTTGCACCCTCTAGTCTTTCTGGTGATCAATGCCTACACTGAAAGAGGAAGAAGGAATGCCTCCCTGGCTGAGGATAGGGTCCCTTGGGTACAAACTCACTGCAGAAGCCCACAGTGCCAGAAGTCCATGAATACATATGTTAAATATTTCTATAGCACTTTAATTTCTCACTTGGAGCCTCTAGCTGCCCAATGGAAGGCAACTTATTCTAGTTTATTCTAGGTTTTCTTTATCCAATGCCCAGATTTCTCCATTAAATTCAGATCTATAACACATAGCCACATTGAGGTTTCGAACTGAACTCACTCCCAGGTTTTCTCACTTGCCTATCATCCCTCACATCAATTAGAAGCACTTGTGGGCTTGTGCAAGGCCCCAGAGACAGTGTTGGAGATGTAGAAAGGTGGCTTGCTTCCAATTTGATCCTGTCCGGGCAACCTGCTCCTAATATAACCTGCTCTGTCTGCTCCTGGCCTGGGCCATGCATGTCGTGACATGAGTGGCGACTCAGGCTTCCCCACCACAGCTTCTCAGTCAAGAGATCCTTCGAGCCTCCAGTGCCTTGGATGTGGGAAGGGTGCTGTCCACCTGTGGTGCTGTCCCCATTTCCCCTCCCCCCTCCCCCTGCCCCGTTCGAGCCCACCAGTTTCCCCTCTCATCTGGAATTATTTTGATTCTCTTCCAGATGATTTAAGAGCAGAAGGAGCCTAAGGGAGGGTGTCATTTTTGACAACTTTTTGCCTGGGTGCACTGCACTGTCATTTCTTTCACCCTTGAGTGCTTTGTAGCCTTTGGAAGGTCTCTAATTTCATTCAGGATTAGAGGAGTCAGAGGTGATGATGACTCTGAGAGGAGACAGGTGGGCAGAGTGCACGACCCTTTCACTGCTTCTAATCCTGTTTCCTTCCCCAAGGACTCCTCCCTCCTTGCAGCTTGAAGGTCTTTAGCCTCTGGAGAAAAGGGTTGGGACTGGGAGGGAGGAGTGGGTTTAATTGCTTCTCTTGCACCTGGCTGATGCCCTGCTGCATTTAGAAGCTAACATGTGAACTGTTTTTACAATAGTTGCAAACTTGCATCTATTATCAATTAGGTGAGGCTTGGCTTACCTAATTGAGCCAGCAATAACAGAAAGAGCACATGGGCTAGTATTCTGAACCGTTAAGTTATTCCATCATAAATTAATGCTTGGCATGTCATTCTGCCACACCTGCCTGGGGGGTAATGACGGAGTTAGACTATTAGGAAACATTAGGTATGTCTACAGACATGTAAACCACGATCCCCTGACTAAATTCTCTTTTCTGTGAGATGATAAATGGCAAGATTGAGGGAAATAATACCAAATGCTAGATACTGAGTCGTAACTCAGTCCCAGACACTGTGCTAAGCCCTTGATGCCTCTTTGCTCACAATCTCATAACAACTCTGTAGTGTGTAGTCCATTATTATTGTTGTTATTATTATTTAAGATGGAATCTCGCTCTATTGCCCAGGCTGGAGTGCAGTGGCCCAAACTCGGCTCACTGCAACCACCACCTCTTGGTGATTCTCCTGCCTCAGCCTCCCAAGTATCTGGGACTACAGGTGTGCACGACCATGCCCAACTAATTTTTGTATTTTTAGTAGAGACAGGGTTTCACCATGTTGGCTAGGCTGGTCTTGAACTTCTGACTTCAGGTGATCTGCCCATTTTGGCCTCCCAAAGTGCTGGGATTACAGGCATGAGCCTCCGTGCCCAGCCAAATCCATTATTATTTTGGTTTTACCAATGGTGAAACTGAGGCTTACAGAGCTCTATTAATGTGCCCAAGGTCATGTTGTTAATAAGTACCAAATTGGGGCTCAAGGACACTCCACTTGACGTCAAAGACTTTATCAACATCATTATATTCCATTTGTATAAATAGGATTTGTTTTATATTTGCCTTGAGTGTTTTTTATTGAGGACAAAGTCATATTAAGTGAGAAAAGAAAGATGAGGTGAATAAAGAAGTGTTTTTATTGGGCAATTACTTTGTGTCAGATACATCAAGTTTATCATCTTAAATCCTTCCTCTAGCCATCTTAGAAAATTTAACTCTGATAAGCAAACCTCAGAAGTGTTCCATTCCGTATCTTACTGCCAAAGGTCCTGTGTATTTGGAAAATACTGTTCTTCCATTCTCATGTGTGGTCTGAGGGGGAATATTACACATTCATTTTGGACTGGTAATTCAGAACCAGCAGACTTATGTCAAAATAGGCTAGAACCCAAAGAATGTAATTCCTCAAATGAGGAACAAAAACCTTTTTCTGAGAACGGATCTCAAAATAAAGCAACATAGCAATCACATCTGGGAGGATAATCAAACATGCTGACAGTTTCCTTTGGTTGCTCACAGTGAGGTCTTTTTAGTTATAATTGGTGTGAAGTTGCCAAAGGTAGTCTAGGCTGGCACCAAGAGGTTGTAAAAACAATTCACTGGATAGGCAACTGCAGTATTCACCAGTTTCTCTCCTGGGCTCCTGGGATGCATGGATATGGGAACAGGGGTTTTGCCAAGAGTATCTCTCAGCATTAGCTGAGCACCAACACCCGGCTCTGATGAATTTCAGTGGCTCACACTGGAAACCAATGTAACACAGTCTGTTTTCTATTTTGAAGTTCAAACTGGAAACAAGATGGATGATGTGTCCAGAAGACTAACAGCTGAAGGAAAAGACATAGATGATCTTAAGAGAATCAACAACATGATTGTAAAGCGACTCAACCAGCTGGACCCTGAACAGAACTAAAGAAATGATTTTCTGAGAGCAGCTGCTAACACCTTGAGCTTCTTACTTTCCTGGGAGTGTACAGGGTTAGGAACTGAGAAAGTGCACTTCTTCAGGAAACAGATAATCTGGTCAGGGAACCCAGCTCTGGGGCCCTCTTTCTGCAGCAGGGTGGGAGCAACTCCAAAGCAGGTGGATGTGGGAATAGCAACTAGAAAGGGGCGAACTTGTCTCAGCCCCATTTCATGGTAGGGCACTTCAACTTGAATTGGGTTTTTGGTGGGTGCCTAGTAGGGAGGAGAACCAACAGAAAGCAAGAGAACTTGACTATGTACGTACAACTTCTTACAGAAGGAGCTTTGCTACCAGAACAAATTCACTTTGTCGATGAGGTTCATGACACCTCATGCACCTTTACCGATGCCTGGGAGAGCCTGAGAAATTCATTGAGTTCTAGATGTTGAAGGGAACCAGGTGATTACTCTTTTCAATAAAAGGGATTCTGCTCAGGTGATTAGACTTTGACTCTATTTTCCCAGGGACAGCAATGGGTGGGCCTCAAAGCTAGTTGCTGTCTAGTGTTTGCTGGTGAAAACATGAGCAGTAGTTATGTGGGGTTGGGGTCAAAAGGGAAAGCCTAATTAATTTAATGTTTATTAAGCTCCTACTCTGTGCAAATTACTCTAGAGGAGCTTACTGAGTGTGCAGGATAAAGAAAGGAGATGGATAGTTACATATAATTATATAAGCTTTGTTTACCTTGTTTCTCATGAAAAAACCCCTTTGGTACCCTGCTGATTGATTTGGAAGAAATCTGATAGATTTGTGGCCTTTGCTAAACCACACTAGGAAATTATGTAGTTAGAATATTTGGAACCTGTATTAATTTCACGAATGAAAGTAAGGCACACAGCATATGACATAGATGCAGTGTGAAATAAATGAGTTTGAAAAGCATATGAGTCTTAGAAAATATTTTATGTAATATAAATATATTCTACCAGTCAATTGAAGAATGTACTGTGGTTCTATCATTTTGGCTTGATCAAAAACATTTGGGTTTACTAGGATATTAAACATTCCTAACAGTAAATAGTTAATGAAATAAACAATACATTTTGCTTATCCATTTTTGCACTCAAAAACTATTTGTACTGAAACTCTTTTTTTTAAAAATTGATACATATCGTGCAGAACATTGTTAAAATCTGAAATTTGCAATTACTGGAAAATCATTTTTGACCTGTTGGTAGGGTATGGCAAAAATCATTTGTCGTCATGATTTGTTGTAAGGTTGTTTCAGAAACTGATGATCTGATGTAACAGCTCTTTTAAAAAAACCACCCGTTTCTTTCCTTTCTGTTGGCTCTTATTATACTTCCCTCTCTTTTCTGTCTAAACAATGGATACATTTCATCCTCAGTGATAAATAATCTTTATTCCAAGAAATGTATGGTTTTGACAACATAAAATAGTGTCTGATAAGTCATTTTGTTCATCTTTTTGGATCCAATGTTTTTGATCTGTACTGTCCTGCCTGTATTGCACAGACAAAGGTATGGTGATGCCTCTGATCCTCACAGCCTGGGAAACTTCAGTCCCACAACTCCCAGTATTAGATATTGGATTCACAAGCTAACATCTTCCATTGAACGTGTTTAAAAAGTATTGGCTGGCTACAGATAATGCAATGGTAGTCAAATACAGTGGTTAAGAACATGGGCTCGGGGACCAACATCCTGGTGTGGATTCTGGTGCCACCACATACTATGAAATTGGAGGAATTAACCTCTTTAATTTTCTGTTTTCAGTAAAATTGAATAATTAGAAAGTCTATTTCATAGTATTGCTATAAGGCTTAAAAACATTATAAATATAAAGGACTTAAAAGGGTATCAAAACCCAAGTACTCAATAAATGTTAATTATTATAATAATCATTATTATTATTAAAAGTAGTGGGTGTGGCATAGTGGAAATACTCAGCTACATTTAAACCTCTATTGGTGGGGCTAAGGGCCAAACATTTTTTCTGTGGCACAGTTTAAGCTGATAACCACACTGATCTCTTCTGACCAAGGTTGAGGGGGTGAGAGTCTTTTAGCAAAATAACTTGTTAAGTTACCGTATAAGAGGCTATCAGATAAGCAGGAGGGTTTTTTGTTTTCCAAGTGATCTAGTCTGAAGAACATAAGGATCCACATTCACTTACCTGCAATGGAGCCAGGAACCTGTCTGCCCTGGGCTAAGGGCTTGACCCACAGGGTGCACTGGGAGGAGGGAGTGGGACACTAATGGTAAGGCCCAGGAGGAGCAAAAGGAATAGAAGGGACAGCCAAACCAAGACACGTATTGATAGGAAAAGAAAAGACAGTTTTGCACCATTCTTTGGACTTTGGTGGTGTTCACAAGAGTCTGAGAGAGAGATGATTGTTCTAGTAACAGACTTTATCTGCATGCCCTTCCTGATATTGCCAGCCATTATGAGAGGATCACATAGAGGATCTCATAGACCATTATGAGAGGAGTCTTCTGACTCCAGGTCCAATGCCATGTACTTAGTATTCTGCCATGAGGACCCTGGAAGAACTTTCCTGTAGTCCCACAAATTGTTCTGTCTTGGTAACCACCTCTAGGCGGGCCTGGAACCAGCCTTGCATAACATGCACTGCTGTGATACCTGGAGGCTGTTGGGGTTTGGGGCTACCTCGAACTAGGAGGGCCTGGCTTCTAGTAAGGCCACTGAGCTGCAACTTAAGGGTACAGGGTACTTATCACTCAGGAATAGACCAGGGTCATCTGGCCAGGACTCTGTCAATGAGCACCAATCTCCAAACCAAGAACAAAGCAACAAGGAGATATGAAAATAACACAAAACAACTGATTTGTTCTTGGTAACAATAGCCTGGGGAAAAGGGAAGAATCTCAGTGTGCATGCCATTTGGACTAACTGAGGTATCTTGGAATATATTTTGCAAACCATCATGTTATAACCAATTTTTATTGCTTAGAAAGAAAACTGTAATGGAAACAAGTTCTCCTTGAGTCAGGGCATAAAAATAATTTTATTCCAGCTTAACATAATGACCCTATTTATATTCAGGAGAGAAGGATAAGCAAAAGAGATCGTTCATCAGAAAAGACTGGTAATCTATCACCTCTGTGAATGAGTTTGCCCCGAAGAAGCTGTGAAAAGGAAAGAGAGCCCTAGAACTCTGAACTATTGTTCCACAGAGCCAGGAAGTATATTTTTTTTAAGGAAAAATAAAAATGGTCTTATTAGAATCTGTGCTGCCACTTATCTGGTGAAGATGAATACTTCTCAGTACATGTTTGTTTACATAGGTAAAACATTACTGAAATATAATTCTACTTTTTATGAGGATGAAAATGATTTTTTTAAAAAGCAGTGAGAAAAAAACGCAGAACAAAATTCCATTTAATAAATAGGTACTAGGCATATACACTTTGCTCAGCAGTTGGGACCATTGTGTGCTGCCCTGTGCTGGACACTGTGAAGGGTCTCAGAGGCGCCGAAGGCATGGTCCCTTCAAAGAGGCTTATGATCTGGTCATGCAAATAAGCCATGTACAGGCAATCAGCAATGATCTGTAATCATGAATAAGAAATAGCGATTCCTCAGTGTGCCCATCCTAGCATCCCTTAAGAGGCTAGAAAAACCCTGATTCTTGGACTGTGGCCTCGGCTATTCTGACTTAGCAGGCGTGGGGTGGGACTAGAAATTCCTGTTATGAAATGCTGCTGTGATGATTCTGGTGCTCAGTTGGGTGGCTGGACAAATAACGGATTTGGAGTAAACTTGGATTCTGATTCTGGTTCTATGCACGAATAACAGTGTGGCTTTGATCATGCTGCTTAATTCCCCTGACTTTCAGCATTTTCTTCTGTATCATGGGAGGGTGTTGCTGCTGGTGAGAATAGGGGAATTGACAAAAAGCCCTTCAGTCTCTGTGTTGTTTATAAGTCACTAAAAAATTAAATGAACTTAAATTGTATATTAAAGAGTGAGGCCATTCTGTAGATATTATTTTGAATGTTTAGGCATCATTAGTAATCTCTTGTCCAAGAACCCCCAAATGTGTTCAGAAGTACATACCTGTGTCACTTCCTCCCTCACCCATTTTTATTTTCTCTTTATTTCCATCCCATTCCTGTACCTCTGGTCCCACATGTCTTGACCTCCTCAACTGCATGGAGCTTAGGATCCAGTTTATGGAGCTATTGAGGGCTATTTTGATACCAGGTATGAGCAAGCACCTGGGAACCCTGAAGGGTGAGAAACCTGAGGAGAGCCCAGACAAGGGGCTTGCTTCAAGAGGCACGTACTGCCTCAAGAGAGCCTGAGAAGATCTTGTTGAGAAAAGCAGTGCTGCTCGGGGCTTTGCCTAAGGGAGTGGCTACACATTATACTCACCCCCACTTGATCCTACACACATCAATTACATCAGTCCTGTCATTCTGAGTGGGAGTTTCTGTCTGGAGTCTTCTTCTGAGGACATTTTCTAGACCTGTGATAGGAGAAGATGGACATTCCTGTGATAGGAGAAGACGGTCAGATGTTCTTTATTTGATCTAACTGTATTCATGACTTAGAAACTACTCTTCAGATTTAGTGGGATAAAAATGTAATCAACCATTATTAAAATATTCAATAGTCAGTCGAAATCAATGACAGTCATGCACCATGAACTGAGACAGGTGATTGATTTATTCCTCAGGAGCTGAGGAGCAAAACCAAGTGTTCAAGTGAGCAGAGATAGGCTGTTATGTAGCACAGCGCAACTCCTAAAACGGAGAAGAATAAAATGTGTTTCAAATTTAGCTGAGTTTTCTGTCTTTGCAAAAGAGTCAATTTGGAGAAAACTTGTGTTATCCTTGAATTTCCCTCACCACTTAAGGAAAATCAAAAAATGTCACATAATTGGTCAGAAAGAAATTCAAGGAAACATTTACCTCTGTTTAATTTCTTCTTTTACCCTTTTTTCCCCTTCAAGATTGGTATTGCCAATAACATAGCTGGGAATTCTTCTGTAGACATTTTCTTTTTGGCCAGCAATGTGGGGAGTAGGATGTGAAGGCAGATAAGAACAGAGAAAGCCGACATGGCATGAAATATAGAGCCCACCTGCAAGGTGGCAGTGTTTGAAGTTTTCTCAGATGGAGGCAGGCATAAGATAGTTCATGTCTTTCCAAATAGATAAAGAAAGAATGATCTGTGACAAATGCAGACCTGAATTTAGAGAGTCGTGATCTTAATTCTTCTTCATTTCTTGGCCTCATCTGTTCCCTTTTAAATTTTGAAACTTGATTTGTTTTTCATGCATGGCTCCCCAAAGAAATGAGTTGTAACAAGCTTATTTCATTAGGAACATTCTTGCTGAATGCGTAGTGCCGCTGCCACAGAGCATTTATTGTTTAATGAAGAAATGGAGCAGACCAACAATTGAAAACCAGTTAATAATTCAATTATGGCTTCTCCAATGCTAAAAATGTCTAATTTGTCATTCCAAAAAATGATTTTCAACATTGCCAGAATCAGACTAAATTAGAATTCTGCTCTGTGTCCCCTTCCCAAACCTAGCAAATTTCTTTAATATTCATAAGTCAGGGTCAACTTCTGAATTACTGTAAACTTATGTAGAGGCTCAAAAACAGTTTTTTTTATAGACTTGGAAAAACACTGATGAAAAAGACATGAAGCAGCCTTTGACATTGAATCTGGAACATTTTAAAAAAAACCTTTGGTAGAGATGTTAGAAAACCCAGGTTCTTTCCATATTACTTGGTAGAGTCACAAAAGAAATCTTTTAAAATTATTTTCCCACCAACTCGATACAACTCACTCTTCTTTTGAGCCTAGAACTTCATTTGACCCTCTTAGATTTTGCCTTGTGATTGTGCATTTGTGTTGTACCCTTTGTTTGACTCTCGTCTGGGCATCCCCAGCGTATTAGTATATTGCTCAATAACGTGAATTTGTTTAATTGAATCAAGCTAGAAAGAGTTTCCAGGCTGCCTGCATTGCCTCTGATTTGCAATTCGAGCAAAGTGGTGTTCACTCATAGGAGAGGAGGGACACCTGGTGGCAGTTGGGTACTTCAAGCAAAGG